AAAAAAAAAAAGAAATAAACATCTTTTCTGTACAGGAGAGGAGAGATCGTGCCATGGTTTCAAGGTTAGCTAAGAATCAAGTTGTTTGAAGATTTCATGGATTATGCCATTTTGAGATATTAATTGGCAAACGAAAGAAACATAATGTAACGCAACATTGTAGTTTTTGTAATGTCTGACAGTGAAAGAAATAAGAGATTAAAATTTCAAATTTCATCCAAGCTATAATTATTACTTTTTTAAATTTTGTCATAAATCTGTCACCTCATCAGTATCATATCACATGGCATGAAATGTTACGTATATGTCTTGATTTACAACTACATTTGCGTAGTATCTGGTATTATTCTTCAGTATACGATAATCGTTTTCGAAAACATAGAAGGCACAAGCTGAAAGATAATTTCGCTTAAATTCGACAGATCTTTCAACCGGTGAGAATTCCATCAACACTGACAATAACTTTTCGAAACAAACTGGCTCGACGCGGTAGCCTGAAAACCGATCAATTAACCCACCATCCGTGTAAAATCAAGAACTGGAATTACTTTAATCACGGATAGCATTACGCGTGGTCGCACCGAGTCGAGCCGAGTAGCGCAATTGAATTAGACGGCGCGCAATCCGTCAGAGATGCAACGAAATCGCTCCGCAGGCCTGGTAAATGTCGCCGGTTAAATTACGTTTAATGCCGGCGGAGTCGAGGCCGCAGTCGTAATCGATGAATAAGCGTGCTCGACAGCGGATTCCGTGGAAAACCGTGCAAATGCGATTTTAATGTCAAGGGGGCTGTGGCGAGAGCCCCCGTGTTTTCCACGGGGCGTGTCCCTAACGACTCGATGGCCCCCGGCTGGTTTTACCATTTTGTTACGTTGTTAAGGTTACGTTACGTTGCCGCGCATCTATTATGAAGCGGCCAGGGCGACTCTCGCGAGCGGGAATTGTGAAAGTTGTGCACGTTCGCGAGAGATTTAAGAGTGGTTTTAGGCCGTTTGGGAGAAATGGACTGTTGGGAAACGTTCACCTAAAGGGACGCGCGT